TACTTTCTGCTCAGGTTCAGTCAAATGCTGTAAAACTGATAGGACGGTGCCTTAAATTATAGATAATAAATAATATATTTATATATTATATATATATTTAATATAAAAGATATATAATAATGACCCAAAATGTTGCAGAAGCAGCCTAAGAGCTTCTTAGGGCAAAGAAATACAATGTTCTTAAATGGGTGAGTCAGTCACCTGACCTCAGCCCAATTGAGCTTGCTTTCCGCTTACAAAAGACTAAAGTAAAGGCAGAAAGACCCACAAACAAGCCGCAACTGAAGACAGCTGCAGTAAAGACCTGGCAAAGCATCTCAAGGGCGGAAACTCAGCATTTGGCAACGCCTGTGGGTTCCAGACTTCAGGCCATCACCATGCAAAGGATTTGCATCCAAGTATTAAAATAATCCTTGTATGTATAGCTATTTCAGTTTGTCCAGTTACTTTTGAGCCTGTGAAAATAGAGGCACTGTGTAACAAGTAGCTGTAATTCCAAAACAGTTAATGTGATATTTTTGTTAAATCCCTTGATTTAAAGCAAAAAGTCTTCACTTCAGTCACATCTTGTTTGCTTTATTTCAAATTCATTGCGGTAGTGTTCAGAGGCAAAATTACAGAAATTGTCACTGTCCAAATACTTATGGTCCTGACTGTATGTATCGTGTTGTTTATGCATCACATGTATGGCAGACAAGCAAAAAGATAAGCAAATATTTAACCCTGCTCCTCTCCCACTTCAGGTCCCTGGATATGGTGGTACACAGGAACTTGAGTGACTCCACAGTGGAGACCATAGAACTATTGATGCTGACGGGGGTAGGGGAGGAGTGAGGGTTGCGCCTAAAGTCCATCACCATCTCCACAGGCGTTTGTATGTTGAGCAGCAGGTGATTGCTGCTGCACCAAGAGACAAGCTGCTTGACTTTCTTTCTGTGGGTAGATTCATCACCTTTGGCTATTAGGCCCACAGATGTCATCTGCAAACTTCAGGATCTTCAGAGCTGGTTCTTTAGAGACATAATCATTGGTATAGAGACTGAGGAGAAGGGGTGAGAGCACACAACCTAGTGGTAGACCAGTACTGAGGGTCCAGCGGTCTGATGTGTGTTTTCCTAGTTGTACCTGCTGTGTTCAAAAGTCCATGATGGCAGAGAAAGTCTGAAGATTGTCCTTTATGTGTTCAAATCTGCAGTCGAACTCATTCAGGTCGTTATTGAGCTGGCGGTCGTTCAAGGGGAGTTTTTCTCACCTTGTTCCAGACTGATGCTGGGACTTTAGCAGCAATATGGCTTTTCTGCATTTCTAAGTGTTTCTTCTTTGTTGCTTTAATCCGTTTCACCAGCCTGTATGAGGGGATGAGGTGTATGAGACTGGTTGGAATGACTGAGAGCTGCATGCGTGACGACATAATAGGCATTGTGAATAGTGGTGTAACAGTGATCCAAAATGTTCCCATCTGTTGTGACATGCTGTTTGGGCAATTCTTCCATTAGATTTGTGCTGTTAAATTATCCCAGAATGAGGAGTAGTGAGTCCAGATCATCATCTGAACGGCCAGCAGGTTCTGTGCATCGCTCGTGCGTGCGTCCAGCTGAATGTAAACAGCGAGCAGAATGAAAGAAAGAAACTTTCTGGGAGAGGAAGCCTTTTAAAGGCTTAAAGAGCCTTCACAGATGTAAAAGTTCTGTAACAATGTATGGGTTCATTCTAGAACCTTTAGTTTATGTAGAAATTCTTTGAACTATAAAAAGGTTCTTCACACTCTCACATCTCATTGACTCTCTAAAGAACCATCCTCTTGAAGTGTCTCTAACGAGACACTCTAAAAAGTCAGGATTGTTTTTCCTAAGAATGTACAAAACAAACACACACATGGAATCTTTTGTAGTGAACGTACACTACCTCTAAACCTAATCCAAATCTTAAAGGGGCACTTTCGTTTTTAACATGCTTACTCACCTCCTACAGTGGTGCCACATTATTTCAGAGAGTGAGATTTTCTGGTCAAAAACTAGGAAGATCTCCTTCGGATGATATATGTTGAAAGTGGGTGGAATGTTTGAAAAACTACAAATGCTTTATGGTGGATACATGAGGGTGGGTTATCTGAAATATTTTTTACCCTCTAGTTGGCTAATGTAGAAGAAAGCCAAACAGCTAACGTTACTGCTATGAAACCAAGCATCATGTGTGTGTTAATTAGCCTATGCTTTAGTGCATGTCTTTATTGCTGGGGGAAAGATTCCTGATGTTTTTTGTGATGTATTTTGGGCCTTATAGTGAGAGGACACTGATGAACGAAAACACAAAATGTATACAAAATCATAAATGCTGTCAAACCCGCGACCCTATATGGCTGAAGTGCTCTTTATACCTCTTTAAGCTCCTGTAAACAAATGGTCAGTCTTTTTTATTCATGTGAATGCTGACTTTTTTTTTGTTAAAAAAAAAGTGAGAGCAGCAAAATTTCCTCAGTGTCCTCAGTTTTGGAGCAGTTCATGCACAGAACAACATAGAGCCATGCACACAAACAAGCATAGAAATTCATCAGCTTTTAAGATTCACACATAGCTTAATCCCCTGCAGTGAAACACCAAAGGTGTAAATATCCACATCACATGTGAAACAACATTATGACTCAGCTCCACCTTCTGCCTACAGACTACATCTCAGAAAGATGTGCAAATTGTCATCTTTAATGATGTTCGGTTTATTGTGTGAGTCATTTATTGTTGCATGTTTAGAGTACATTGACTTCATGTGAGCCATTGCCCTCCGAAAGCAAAGAAGAATTTAATACTTTTTTCTTTTTTTTCTCTGTTCTTTAAAGAGCTGTAAGAGAATGTGGTACTGTAAGCTTCTTCCAGAGCTTCAGTGAGAAGTACTGTTTTGGAGATACAAGGTTGTTACAACAGCTACAATAAGTCAGTGACAGTTTAATATTACTTTTGTTGCATGTTTGTGAAGTTTGAAACTTAGATCGAAATATGAATATAAGGCATAAGTGCACTGCTGGGTAGCATTTACTTTATGTATTACCTCCTGGAAAAAGTAATCTCACTACGCATTTTGTTAGTTCAAATTTACTCTCTAAATTAAACAAATCTGTATGAACTGGAAGGGAAAACACAGAAGTGGTACAAAACAGCTGCCTCAAAATAAAATCTTTGTGAATAAAATGTAACTCTTACAGAGCTATTTCTGAGTGAAATCAAAGTCTGATTTTTAGCCAAGAGTTTAATATTAGCATGGTTGGATGTTTCTACAGATTTCTTGCCCAGCTTATGGAGTTTGCATAGCATTTCTTACATTCACAGTTGAAGCTGTGCAGTTGGCTGGTGCAAGTAGCACATGCACAAATTACATACAAGGACACAGATCATACTGTGCAAAAGTCAGAGACCACTGTTTGTTAATTTCCAAGTGATTTTTCAGAGATGTAAGATAATGCCCTTGTGTAAGGAAGGGGAAAGTCAAAAGAAAAACAGTGAAAAAATAGTTTCCAAAACTGACATCCAAAAAACTGTTAAAGGATATAGAGAAATCAGAGACCTGGTGAATCACCAAAACTGTCACCATCAGATAAACAGCACTTAAAACTTTCATCTTTGAGAAAATGAAGCTCCACTCTTGCTTCAGATCTGAAAATTCCACAAGTGTTTCTGTCCATCCTTCTGCTGTAGGAAAGCTCAAGAAGCCATGCTTCTAAAAGGGTGTGTAGCTGTCAAGAAGCCATTACTGAAAGCCATTACAAGAAGACATCACAGAAAAGAAAATTGACAAAAAAAAATGCTAATCAAATAAAGAAGCTGCTGGTGTTTTAAGCACAAAGGAGTCCAGACCTCAACATCATTAAATGTGTTTGGGGTTACATGGATCATGACAAGCAGAAAACGTAACCAAGGTCTAAGACTGAACTATGGAGGTGTGGAAAAATATCTCTGCAGATTTCTTTAAAAACTGAAAGCATTTGTACCGTAAAGAATGAGAGCTGTAATAAAGGTAAAGGGTGGACACATTAAATGCTTTAACTTTTACTATTATATTTAGTTGTTGAGGCTTCTGTATAATTTTCTATTAAATATATGTTTTGTGCTGTTTTTCCAGTTGCTGAAAAATGAATAATGTGTACATAATGGACATTCTGACGGGTGGTCTGTGATTTTTGTTCTATGGAGACAAAATATATGTTTTACAAGTATTGTGCATAATTAATATTGCTCTTTTGGAGACATATGAGTAACACAAGTAACAACAATTCATGTTAGGTCAGTAACTGTAAGGATTCAATTTGATATGCATATATGCATTTACCATCCCACATAATTTTTCACTGTGTATGCTGGACACAAAGAGTTTTATTTCCTGCAAACAGGAGTTTAATGAATGGAATACCAGAACAGACCTTACTGCATTCACTGTCAGGGTTGATATTAAACATTACTAACAATCTTAGTAATAATTCCAGCAGAAGAGAAGGTTGGATGATTTATTTATCTAAACAGTTTGTTTGACAAGTTTCTTTCATTCCAGATTTTCTCCTCTAGGTAAAATGCAGTGCCCCATGACAACTTCACATAATGTTGGGCTAATGCTTGAAGTGTTCTCTATCTTTAAAACGCTAATGGCTTGCCATGTCCAGGCTATCCTCTGCATGTTATCATTCAATTTTAGAGTCATTCTGTCTCATAATTATATGCAGGGCCATTCTCTCTACTAGTTCATTTCATTTTCACCTAAAATGAACATTGTGCCTCACCATAAACAAGTTTCTACCTGGAATCAAATGCCGTTATAATGACATTTAAAGGGGAAACGGAGCAACCCTATCTATCTACTACATCAAAGAAAACTATTATGATAAGGAAAAATACTTACAGTAATTTAATTGTTTTACAATGTACAACAGTATTTTATGCCAGTAAATGTGAGACTACATTGCTTTCTATGCATGTTAATGTATGTCTCTGTATGTCTTTGTGTGTGCATTTGTACAGTAATGGGCAGACTGATGGTGACAGCTCCACAGAACACTCAGAGCCCTTGTTCAACATTAATAACAGTGGAGGGGGCGCAGCCAGTAGCAGCAGGGGTGGGGAGAGAACAGGGTGAGTCTAAGCTTTTTTTAATGCTGAGTTTTTTGCTATGAAAATGCTAACAGTCTAGTTTTGCATAACCCACTTTAGGCCTTGTAGAAGTCCTAGATGCATCACTGTCTGCTAATACCACTGGCATCTCTATGTATTCTTACCTTTTTAGTCACTGTTAGAATGTGTTTTACAAGCTTGAGATATCCTATAGGAGCTGAGAGCAGAAACTATCGCAGACGTGTTTTTTTTGTTGGTGGTGGTGGTGGGGTTTTTGTTTTTAAACTAATTTTGATTGTTGATCTAACTCTAATAGTCATGGTTTGCCTCTGGTTTTTAATACAAAAATGTTTTAGCAACATACTCCACTAAAAACAGTTCTAGACTTATTCGGACAAGATTAAATTTACATGGGATCCTGGAGTTATTTTTTCTTTTAATGGTGCTCCTGTCTGTGTTTTTATATATCCTCCCCTGAGAATCTTAAGTCTTTTGGTCCATTCTTTTAACCATTGTCTATTCTTACTATACTGGGACAGCATTAGCAGGAGGAGAAGTAAAATAAAGTTGGTGAGAGAAGTGAGATCTTATAGGCCGATTAAAGGTGTAGCTACATGTATAAAACACTTTATATTTACACAATTACACAGAATCAAACCATTACTTTATATGCACTATATAATCAATTTTCCATGCGAATAAAAAGTGATCATAAGATTACTTCATATGTTTGAAGTAAACACCCAGGGTCGTAGCAATTTCAGCCCAAACTCACACCACCTGTAGTAAATATTTTGCTGTCCAGATGCATGAGTTTTTATCATGAAGGAGACGTGTTTTTTTTTTTTTGGTAAACCTATCCTATTATCCTACATTTAGACATGATAATGAGTGGTGCAGTGTGAAGTTCTGACTGTCAATCTGTATTCTGAGCACATTTACTGTTCATAAGGGTTGAAACCACACCATTGAGCAAGTAAACATGTAAGTTGTTGAAGAATTTCTTAAGTGTTTGACTTCATCCATGAGCAAACTGTAATTATGTGGATCTATTTTGTTTGCATTTATGTAAATGTTTGCATTCATATAAATGTTCAGTTGTTTAAACTAAATCTGCTCATTATGTGGAAGTTTCAGGTTGACTTAGCACATTTATCTAGCATCTTACTCAAGAAGTTTAGAGGATGATATTTACTTTAGAAATTGCATGTGCACAGATTTAGTTTCAAGTCATTGGTTTCACAATCATGCCTGCCTTCACTACAGGAATTACATAGAGCGAGACTGATCAACTGATTATGTGCATCACGCACAGCGGAATAAGACAGTCATTCCTGCCTCCTCATATTTATGTGATTATTTGTTTCAATAGGATAACATGGTACAACTCAATGTTGTTAGAAAAAAGCGTACCTTTCGATTCCTTTACAGTCAGTCGGCTGGTTTTACCAAATGGACAGTGGAAAAGGCAATACACGTTGAATATGATCCAGGGCTACTGTAACCACGGGTGCGAGCATGGATTTGACTCACCAATGTTCTGGCATGACAACCCAGCACTTTTGGATTTAGTTCAGATCGCTTACATCATAAAGAATTTAAACTACACTGAGCGCTAACCAATAGACACAAACAGAGAGAAAGTCAAACTCCAAACAGACTCAAAACCAAACAGAATGTCCGTTTCAGCTGGGAGGCAGAACATTTCCCAGACAGTGAAGGCTTTGTGAGTTGGTGTTGCAGTTCACTGATCTGGTAAAAGTGTTTTTACTGCGATACTCAAGCTAATGCACAGTCACAGTTTATGTTAGTGTACTGTGTGAATTTTCTAAATGTCAGTTTGAATATTTCTTACTACCACATTGCTAAACCAAGATTGCTTTCAGATCTACCGTGGTTGATGCGGACCTATTGAACTTTTTTTTTAGTTCGGTACACAGTCCACCGATATTTAGGTCCACACTAAAGAGCTGATTCACAAGGGAATTCAACACCAGAGTGCGCTTTTCTCAGTGCACGTCCATGCTGTGCTGTCTGCATAATCTGCTTTAACAGTTTACTCAGTCATAAACAAGGAGATTTGAAGTATGATTTACTACTGTTGCTATGATTGTGATATACTTTTTTCAATTTTTTGTAATTTAATAGTGGCAAATTTGAGAGTAACAAAGTACTGAATACATTATAAGAAGCACTTTGGCTCATTTTTGAATGAGACACGGCAGACAATTGGAACAAAGGTCATTTACATATATTAGTCTTTAAGGCACAGTAATAAAAATAGCTTGTTTAATTCTAATGAATTAAGATAGATTGGAAAATGATCATGTAAAATGCATTACTTTGTTTTTTGGCACAAATACAAAGTTATAATTATACCTCGAGGAAAAATACAAGAAAAATGTGTAATTAGTCTTTGTTTTGAAACCCCTACTAATGCATTGCACTGTGATCCTTTTAAGTGTATGAACTTTTTAATATATCTGAAGTTAACAGTATAGATTAAATTGTGCAAATCAAAGATTAGAAAAGTCTAGATTCCTGAAAATGAAACTTTCTAGGTCACTTCTGCATAGATTTGTTGGCAAATGCTTATGAACAGAACCTTTTTTTCAATAAATAGACCTAGATTACACCAAGTTTAAACTGTTTAGCACAAAAAAAAAGGAGGCAGTTAATGTACTTGTCCTCTGCAGAAAGCCTTCACCATATTCTGAGGCTGTGTCTCTGATTTAATAACAAAATAATTTGTGGCCTAGATTTAAGGGCAATTGCTTACCTAGACAAGAATGTACTAATTTAACTGAATTGATGTCGGTGCTAAGTGGTGTTTCAGATGGCTTTGTGTGAGTTGCATTTGAGGTGTACTTTTAAAGTATGTATGTATAGCTTTTGTTATAAATATATTTCAGGTTATAAATATTACAGAGCCTTCCAAGTTGTTGCCACCTTTCATAAAGATTAAAATAATGAAAATAAACTGAAATCTCACCTAGCAGTAAAATTACTGAAAAAAGTAAAGATTTTTATCAGAAGCAGTGTCACGATTATAGGCACCACTAATAATCCTGGTGAATAACATATGAGACACAAAAATTATTCCGTTAAACTCAAGGCATTTTACATAAATCTTTATGAACTCTTAAGTGGTCACCCATGACTTTCTGTTCACTGGGGCATAAAAATGAGATGACATGCAAGCAGAATGGTTGAAACGTTGAAAAATACACAAATGAAATGAAACACCTTTTAAGGGTGTTCATGCTGCCGAAACCAAACCAGTATAAACTGGACCTTAGCTTCCTTGTTAAGGGCAGTGTGAGCACCTTAGCAGAGAGTGGAGTTGCACCGCCACTCCGTCACTGCACCCACCCCCCATCTGGGCTCATCCTGTCTCTCATGGCACTCGTCTACGCATGGGGCTCAGCCACCGTCTTCACACCATCTCACGTCAGAGTGCGGGGCTCAAGCGGTAACTTCACACTACCCCTTGTGTCCCTCGCCAGTACACTATGCTCAGGCATCTGGCATAGTGGATTTGGCAGTAAAATAGTGTTAAGAACAGTCAGAGGAGACCATACTTCCTAGAGTTAAAGATGGTGGTGGATGTGTTATGTTGTGGTGATGTAGCCTTAGTATAAATAGCTTCATGAACTCCATCAAATACTGGGAGATTTAAGATCATATTCTGGTTCCCTCTGCCAGATTGCTAATGGATCTTTTAGCGGGACAATGATCCAAATCCATCTCCATCTCTTTACTTTAAGATTAGATTTCTTTCACTGTATACATTGAGCTGATAGGATGTTTTTTCTGTCTGTCTTTGCTCTTCTTTACCAGGGGTACCAGTAATTCTTGAGGCCATTATATGCATATGAATACAAAGTATTTAGGAAGCTTTCATGAACAGGGCCTATAGAGTCTTTTGTCTGTTACTTATTCTGTGGGTGGCCACTGTTTGTAGGAGCACTCGGACTGGTTGGCGACCGGAGAGAGACATGGGCCTGATGAACGCGATTGGCCTGCAACCTCGACACCTTACCCCCTCAGTCACTTCACAAGGTACACAAACACAGGTGCTGCAGCTGCAGAATGCAGAGACGCAGACTGACCGCGATTTTGAGCATGACCCCGAGCCTGACCTCCATTTACCCGGCACCAGGCAAGAGTCACAGGTCCCAGGTAAAATGATCACGTTGTCTCAGTCTCATACATTCATACATACAGCTTACATTCCTTCAGAGCAAATAACTAAATATATTTTTTTAGTATTTAGTGTATCCACCTTTTGTCTTTATTACAGCTTCATTTCTTTTCAAGAGACTTGTCTTTGTTTTTTCAAGAAGACTGCAGGCATATTTTTCCACACCTCTAAAGTTCACTGTTAGCATTTTCTGCTTCTCACAATCTAAGTAATCCCAAACACATTCGGTGACGTCGAGGTCTGGGCTCAGGTGTAGCCGATGCATTGTTCTGAGAACACTGGTAGCTTCGTTTGATTTGAAAAATTTCTTCTTTATTGTCTTTTTTCCTTTTTCCCTTCTTTTAAAGCAGCTTCTTGACAGCTACACATCTTTTCAGACCTGTAGTGTTGAGTTGTATTCTCACAGTGGAATGATGGACAGACATCTTGTGGATTTTATCAGGTCTGAAGCAAGAGTGGAGCTTGATTTTCTCAAAAAGCTGAAAGTACCATTTATCTGATGGTAATAGTTTTGGTGGTCTGCCAGGTCTTTTATGTTTGTTAGGAGTCCCATTTTATCTATGTCTTTTAATCATTTTTTGAACTCCAATTTTGAAAATTCCTGTTCTTTTTTAATCTATTTTCCTTTGACTTTGACCTTCCTTAGGGTGTAGTTATGGGCTGGAGGTTAGGGAACCAGCCCTGTGACCGGAAGGTCGCCGGCTCAATCCCCTGAGCGGGCAGTACGTGACTGAAGTGCCCTTGAGCAAGGCACCTCACCCCCAACTGCTCCCAGTGTGCTGCAGATAGGGCTGCCCACCGCTCTGGGCACGTGTGATCACTGCCCCCTAGTGTGTGTGCATTCACTAGTGTGTATGTAGTGTTTCACTGCACAGATGGGTTAAATGCGGAGGTGCAATTTTCCTCGTTGTGGGACTAATAAGGGTCACTTAATCTTAATCTTAATCTTAGGCAAATGAATGATCATATTGGATCTGCTCCGTTCTTGACTGAAAACTAAATAAATGAAGGCTGGTCTTTGACTTTTCATACTACTACAAAGTCAGGTCCATAAGAATTTGGACAGTGACACAATTTTTTATAGTTTTGCCTCTGAGATCTCTGAAGACCTACAATCAATAATTGTTAATTTGCATAAAGATGGAAAGGGTCACAGAGTAATCTCAAAAAGCTTATGTATTCATTTGTCTACAGTTAAACAAATTGTCTATAATTAGAGATGGTTTAGTACTTTGTCTACTATCCCTAGAAGTGTCCGCCAAGCCAAGACCATTCCAAAGCCACATCGCAGAACACTCAATGAAATACGCAAGAACTCTAGAATGACACCTAGCTTAATGGAATCATTGGAACTGGTTAACATCTCTGTTGACCAAAACTTAGGACAGGCATGGTGTCCATGGCGGGACACTACATAGAAAGCCACTGATTTCCAAAAAAACGCATCGCTGCATGGCTGACATTTGCCAAAGAGCACTCTGACACTCCAAAACACTGCTGGGAGAATGTTTTGTGGACTGATGAAACTAAAGTTGATTTGTAAAAGGACATGGCATACCTACCTGAAAACATCACCCCAGTGGTGAAGTATGGTGGAGGTGGCATCGTGATTTTAGGCTGCTTTGCTGCCTCTGGGCCTGGACCGATTGCCATTATTGGGGGGAAATGACTTTGAAACATTCAAGTAAATCTACTACAGAATGGCTTAAAAAAATTAAATCCACCTTTTGAAGTGGCCCAGTCAGAGCCTAGACCTTAAACCAGTAGAGATGCTGTGGAACGACCTCAAGAGGTCTACAGCGTTCACACCAGACTTTCAAAGAATATGGCTGAGTTGAAGCAGTTCTGTGTGCAGGAATGGTCCAGTATTCATCTTGAACGTTGTGCAGGGTCGGATCCACAGAAACCGGAAGGGTTCAGTTGTAATTGTTTGTGTGTTTTCAGAAATGGTACATTGTGTTTGACTATGTTTCTGACTTATATGAAGAACAGATCACATTTTTGACCAATTAATGCAGAAAATAATTCATTTGGTAATTTGGTAATGATTTCTGTTAAATCATGAAAGAAATAACTTTTTAAAGTACATTGTCTGGTGGGGACGGTACATTGATAATGTCTGTTTGTTTTGGGCAGGGTCAGAGGCAGAGTTACAAGCCTTCCATGGTTTTCTAAGTGGTATTAACCCCAACATTAAACTGAGTCTAGATTACAGCAAGGAGAGCATACATTTTTTAGGTCTTATGATCTTTAAAGACAATGGCCAGTTCAAATGAGCGAGGAGAATGTGTAACCTGGAAAAGGAGTTTGAGGCCAAAGCTGACGAAATGGTATCATGCTTTCAGGAACGGGGATTTAGAAATTCTACACTACAGAAAGCATACGCTAGGGCCAAACACTTGAACAGACAATGTTTACTACAAAAAGTGCTGCTAAACAAACAAAAGAAAATGAAAATGAAGGTGAAATTTGTCACAGAGGCAGAAAATAATAAACAGATTACTAAGAAAAATTGGGGTATTATTGAGAGTGATGATATACTCAGTCAGGTCTTCCCTGAACCATCATTAATCATTTTAGAAGATGCCCTACTCTACATCAGCCAAACACCCAACAAGCATGGTTGAGATCAAAACCCAAGGGATCGTGCATTTGTAATCATTGGAACTCTGCACTAATGTAATGTAGACCAAGACATTTACAAATTTTACATCTCAGAAAGAGTTCACCATTAATTATTTTATTACCTGTAAAGCCCCATTTGACCACATTCCATCTTGCACATGAAAAAAGGCAACATAACCAACAGGAAGCCTTTTGGATCTCTAAATTGCAGGCTACTAAACACTGAGGCCTAAATGAAGTCCTAGATTTTACTGCTTTTTTGTAAACTTATAGTTATGTAAACACCTATGTGTTTTTGTAACCATTGCCATTGTTATTTTTTTTCACCACATTTTTTCTTTAATTCAACTTTGGTGAATAGTGTGGGCCAAAATGATTAAAAAAAAATGATGAAAAAAGATGGGCAGAATATCTAACAGAAGGTCCTTTGCTTCACATAACAGACAAACACAAACTGTAACATTGTGCAGGATATTTTCTACTTTGGAAAAGCAAAAACTGAGAGTTTCTCCACCTCATTATTATTATTATTAACTCTTCACTCACAGCTCATATCACTATATGTCAATTTGTGTGGATTTAGGAGATGCAGCTCCACACGAGACAAAACAAAAAAACAAACAGGCAAAATGTCTTCAAGAGCAAATAAGACCTCCTTTGCTTCTCACAGAACCAGCAAACTGTGACATTGGGCTATTGTCTACAACCCCCTTTTACAAAAAAAGTTGGGATGCTTTGCAAAATCTAAATAAAAACAGAATGCAAAGATGTGCAAATCATTTAAACCTATATTTAATTGAAAAAAGTACAAAAACAATATATCAACTATTGAAGCTGAGAAATATTATTGTTTTTTTTTTTTTAATATATGTCTGTTTTGAATGTGATGCCAGCAACATGTTTCAAAAAAGTTGGGAGGGCGCCATGTTTACCATTGTGGTGCATTACCTCTTCTTTTCACAACACTCTGTAACATTTGGAAACTGAGGAGACCAGATGCTGTAGTTTTGAAAAGGAAATGTTTTTCCCATTCAAGTCAAGTCAAGTCAAGTCAAGTCAGCTTTATTGTCAATACTACAATATGTACAGGACATACAGAGTATTGAAATTGCGTTACTCTCAGACCCCATGGTGTAGCAATAACATTAAATAGAAAGTAAACAGGAAAAGTGTGAATTTAAATAGACACTAAATAAACACTAAACACTAATCGTAAAAATAAGCACAAATATATATATATATATATATATATATATATATAAAATAAAATAAAATTTGAATAATAAATATATATGTATATATATAAATATAGATCTTGAAAATTAACACGAAGTGACATGAAGCACAACAGATTAAGATCTGTGGGTATAAATAGTGCAAATATAAACAGTAGTGCTATTGGAATGAGCTTATGGAGCAGTTAAAGTGATGAGTGCGTAACAGTCCCTGAGAAGGTCAGAGTTCAGTATTGGGGGAGTGGGGATCAGGAACCTGTGTATGGGTCCAAAACTCTGTGTGTGGGGGGGGCAGAAGGGGAGAGGGGGGGCAAAGTAGGGAGAGAGTTTAGCGTCCTGACAGCCTGGTGGATGAAGCTGTCCCCCAGTCTGCTGGTCCTGGCCCGGAGACTCCGCAGTCTCCTCCCTGATGGCAGCAGGCTGAAGAAGGTGTGTAGTGGGTGAGTGGGATCACCTGCCATGCTGAGGGCTTTTCGGGTGAGACGTGAGCTGTATATCTCTTGGAGGGAGGGGAGGGAGGTGCCAACGATCTTCTCAGCTGCTGTCACGATGCGCTGGAGTGTCTTGCGGCAGGACACGGTGCAGGCGCCATACCACAAGGTGATGCAGCTGGTCAGGATACTCTCGATGGTACCTCTGTAGAAGGTGCACAAGATGGGGGCTGGGGCTCTGGCTCTTCTCAGTTTGCGGAGGAAGTAGAGTCGCTGATGAGCCCTTCTGGCCAGTGATGCTGTGTTGTTGGCCCAGGAGAGGTCCAACAACCTTTTCTTGCTTGACAATTCTTGCTTGATAGAGAATTTCAGCTGCCCAACAGTTCAGGGTCTCCTTTGATATATTTTTCATTTCATAATGCATCAAATGTTTTCTGTGGGTGACAGGTCAGGACTGCAAGCAGGACACTGTAGCAAGACTCTTTTACTACAGAGCTATGCTGCTGTAATCTGGATCATCATCTGGATCATCTGGAGGGCAGCATATGTTGCTCCAAAACCTGTATATTTTCACAGATGTGCAAGTCACCCATGCTGTGTGCACTAATGCACCCTCATCATGGATGCTGGCTTTTCAACTTAATTAGTTGCGAGATGTTCCACCGGGGTTTTTTTTATATATATACT